TCCCGCCCCGTTCCCCCCCCAGCCGCCCGTCGGGACAGACCCCTCTCACCGCACGCATCCAGGCGAGGCGCGACACGTTAACCCCAACCCTCGGAGCCCCGCAGGGCTCCTCATCCCTCTGCTTGTGTAGCCCCATCACCCCCCCATCCCCAAACGAGCCACCCCAATCACTTGGACACGGTGGGAGATGGCGTTGGGTCAACCGCTGAGGTGGACGGAAGTCGCTGCTGGGCCCTCACCCACAAATCTGCCTCGCAGCAGGCGATCGGGGTGGGTTTATTCCTTCCCAGCCCAGGCTGCCCATTCCCCATCACCTCCTGCTTCTCCATCTGCCCAGGAACACGCTCCAGCAGGACTTGCTCCATGGCAGGTGGGTGTTGGTCTCTTCTCCCAAGTAACAAGCCATAGGACAAGAGGAAACGGTCTCAAGTGGCGCCAGGGGAGGTTTAGGTTGGATATTAGGAAAAATTTCTTCACTGAAAGGATTGTCAAGCACTGGCACAGGCTGACCAGGGACATGGGGCAGTCACCATCCCTGGAGGTATTCAAAAGACATGTAGACGTGGTGCTGAGGGACATGGTTTAGTGGTGGACTTGGCAGTGCTGGGTTAACAGTTGGACTTGAGGATCTTAAAGGTCCCTTCCAACCTAGACAATTCTATGATTTTCTCTGTGATGTTACAAGTGGTCTTGCAGGGACATCAGCCAGCACCTGTGGCCACCTCTCCGCACCCTGGGACACAGCCTCCCTGGGCTCACAGGTTTTTATGGCTCCCCAAGTAATAACCACTGTGACCCTCATCCACTGCTGGTTGTTCTTCTCTCCGAACCCTGCCTTCAGGTACATGGCCAGGGAGACCTTGTTGGTGAAGACCGAGGCCAAGGACGCATGGAGTACCCCAGCTTTGTCTGCCCTGGTCAGCAGCAGTGCCTTTGTGAACGCTTTCCTTCTTCAGCTTCCTACAACTAAAGGAGTTTGTCGAGATGTGCAAGGAACACAAATCTTCAACAACTAAAGTAGTACTTTAAAAGTAGTACTACTTTAGTTATAGAAGATCTGATGTTCTTGGCACATCTCAACAAAGCGAGCTTTGGCTTTCTTAACATCGTTGCTACAAAGCCAGGTAACATTTTCATATTTCTCCTAATGGCCTGTCCATGCTTCCACCTCCTTCAATACTGCCTTTTCGCATTGGAGCTCAGTCATGAGTCTAATTCAGTTTAGCCAAGCCTATCTCCTGGTTCACCTACTTGTTTACCTGATTATTGGGATGGGCTTGGACGATCCTGTCCTTAAAGACCTGCCAGCTCTCCTGAGCTCCTTCACCCTTCAGAGCAGCCTCCCACAGAATCCCACTTACCAGCTCCCTGAAGAAGGTGAAGACCAGAGTCTGTGTATTGCTACTCACCTTTTCTACTCCCTTCAGGATCTTGTAGACAACTATTGGTGCTGCTGATCCTCACAGCCCCCATCAGTTTCTCTTTTTTTCATTAATGGGATGGAGCTATGCATGCCCAGCCATGCCAGGGACAGAGATAGTGGGGGCTTGGGACGTGGACTGTTTATGTCCAGCACTCAAGTAAAGTGAAGTCCATGTAAAACTGGAAGTATTTGGTCAGAGGGCCCCAAAAAGCAGGTTGTGCTCTCATTCTTCTTGTGACCTGCCTGCAGCCCACCTGAAGGCTCCTCCAGGTCCCACATTGACAAAGGGGTGCTCTCAGGGGTTGGACTGCTGCAGGACAAACCCGTGTGTCTAAAACAGAAAAGAAAAGATGCGTAAGAGTGCCCAGAAATCTCACCCAGCATAGTGGGGCTTTGAATTATCTTCAGTTTGTGTTGTATACACAGAGCCCTGTCAGGTAGCAGAAGGTCTGAAGAGCTGGGGACTGAACAGGATCAGGTGGCCAGCAATGCAGGTCTCTCCCCAGTCACAGTACCTGAGAGGCAAGCAGAACAGACTCAGAGCTGGTCACCAAGTTCAGAGAGAGCCCAGATCATCAGGTATGTTTGTGGTGATGAGTCAGGTCCCGGGTGAAACTGCAGGTCAGGATGAGATCCAGCAAGGGTCAGACACAGTCCAGACAGGTCCATAATGGTGAGGCAGGTCTGAGAACAGGTCAAGAAGACAGTCCCTAGCCAGGCACTGCTGAGCTGGAGTCTGATGCTCCTACAGCATAGCTCAAGGAGAGACTAAAGGCCCAAGGCTGAGCTTTAATGGGTTCCTGGGCCCCTGGGGGTGGAGGGTGGAGGCCCCAGGTGAGACCCATTAAGGCCCATGAGTGTCCTTAGGGCTCTGACAGCTTCTGCCAAATTTACAGCTGCCTGACTTTGCTAGGAGGTGTTGGCTGGTGGGGGAGGAGCTGCCTGAGATGACCCAGTTCTCCTGGGAACTGGCACAGGGAAGACTTGTTACCGATGCCCTCAGCATTTACTGTTCTTCAAGAGAAAAGGGTGAGAGGAGATTCATTCCTCTTCAACAGCAGGGGTTAGAGTCCGAACTCCAAACCCAGCTCTCATGTTATGGGGAAGGAAACAACTGAAAAGTACTCCTGCGTTAGACATGTCTCCTTCTAAATTGTGTGTGCATCCCCTTCGGTGGCCAGCTGGCTGGTCAGCGCGTGCCTTCTCGTTGGTCCACCACCCATGAGGGGAGGTGGCTGCCTCTGCTAACCTTGTGTCTACGCGCGCTGGAGGTCCCGGGCTGCAACGGGGAATCTCGCTCCGCTTTCTCACCAGGTTCCTTCCCTGATGGCGCTCAGGTGCAGTACAGCTGAGCAGGGCAGTGCTGGGCCCATGTCTCTGCTCGTCTTTGGAGGAGATGGCCCTTTTGGGCGCTCCCTGCCAACTGTGTGGGACACATGAATGGATGCTCACCACAGACGTGGCATTTGCAGCGCCACGGCCCTGACCCTTGTGCTCACATCGTGGCAGCTTCATCTCCTCCATCAAGTCAGCTGAGAGAGGAGCCCTGCAGCCCTCTCTCCCAGTGGTGCTAGGTGGCTGTGACCACCTGTCCTGGTTTGAGTGACACAGGACTAATTACTCTTCTAATGCTTGGGAAAACCGCACTTTTAGAAGACTCTAGTGTCCGAATTTGTGAAAATATTTAGTTTATAGCCAGCTGTGGTATGTGGGTTTCAAGTTCTCATTGGTTTTGAGCTCGCTGGATGCAGGGATGAAGAGGAGCACTTGACCCAAGCTGCCCAACAGGGTTATTTCATACCATGAACATCACTTTTGATTTAAATCAGAAAGTTTGCTGAGGAGTTTTCCTCTTCCATGATGGCGGTGATCCAGAGAACTCCTCGCCCTGGTGCTGGAGCCCTGAGCCCTTCTCCGCCTCCCAAAGCCACAGTGCTGGCAGTGTCCCACATCTGCTGTCCCCTGCGAGGAGTGCACAGCTTCTATGAATAGAATGGGCTGAGGATAATCCTCACATATTTTATATCAGTATCTGGATCAATACTGGTTCTTTAGTGCTATTAATGTTAATTATCTAGTCTCATTCTATTAAATCTGTTTATATTTCAACCACCGGGTTTCCTTGTTTGTTTCCAGTTACCCTTCCTGGGTGGGGAGGGGTCATCAGGTGGTAGAATTGTCCAAAAGACAATAAATTATTGTGGGTTTACTCAAACCGTAACACCACCACTTTGGCTCTGATGTCCCTGGTCTGTCCTCACAAGCCTTGTGGGAAGGTGTCCCTGGCGTTGGATTGGGCTGCCCGATGATCTCACCCAGATGTGATTTTGAATGAGATGCACAACCAGGAGCTGGCAGCTGCAGGCCAGGGTGTGAGGGGGGGAACACCAAGGTTGATCTGCATCTGCCCCTTCTGCACCGCTGCCTCCTGGGGAAAGCAGGAGTACTTGCAGGGCTGCTGCTGCAGCTGATGCAAAAGTCCTGGAAATTCAGGGCGTCTGGAGAAGGCTTGGGATGTAGGCAGGGCAGGAGGACGATGACAAATATGTGAGGTCCAGAGAGGGTGCTGGATGTGAAGGAATCACATAATAACAGGAGTTGGAAGGGCCCTCTGGAGCTCCCCCAGTCCCACCCCCCGCCAGAGCAGGGGCACCTCCAGCAGTGGCACAGGACAGCGTCCAGGCGGGTTTGGGATGGCTCCAGAGGGGGAGACTCCCCCACCTCTCTGGGCAGCCTGTGCCACTGCTCTGCCGCCCTCACAGCAGAGAAGGCCCTCCTCAGGTTCAGATGGAACTTCCTATGGTCAAGTTCGTGCCCATTCCCTCTTGTCCTGTCACTGGGCACCACTAAACAAAGACTGTCCCCATCCCCCTGGCACCCTCCCTTTGGGTATTGATAAGCATTGATAAGATCGCCCCTCAGTCTTCTCTTCTCCAGACTGAACAGCCCCACGTCCCTCAGCCTTTCCTCATCAGAAAGATGCTCCAGTCCCCTCATCATCTTTGTAGCCCTTTGCTGGACCCTCTCCAGCAGTTCCCTGTCCTTCTTGAACCGGGGAGCCCAGAACTGGACACAGTGCTCCAGATGTGGCCTCACCAGTGCAGAGCAGAGGGGGAGGATGACCTCCCTCGACCTACTGGCCACAATCTTGTTGATGCACCCCAGGATGCCATTGGCCTTCTTGGCCACCAGGGCACATTGTTGGCTCATGGTTGTCCCGTTGTCCACCAGGACTCCCAGGTCCCTTTCCACACAGCTGCTGATGGTACACTCTATCCCTTCACCCATGTCATTGATGAATATACTGAACAGGACCGGACCCGGTACTGACCTATGGGGAATACCACTTGTCACAGACCTCCAACTAGAAGAGATACCAGGAAGAGCTCTGGCACAGATGTCTGGTTTCTCCTCATGCTGGGGAAGTGGCGTTACCTGTGATGCTGAGCTGCATTTCTCCGTGGGTGCTGTGAGACCTGCTGGCTCCACTGCACATACAAACGACTTGTCTGCTGCTTTTCTGCCAGAAATGCCAGAGCTTCTCTCAGGCAGCTGCAGCGTGTTGGTGGGGGGGGAAACTCCCCCTCTGTCGGGGTCCAAACTCTGCCTGGTGTCCCAGCAGCCAGAGGTGGGGAAGAGGGGTTACCTGTAGGATTACGGAGGATGAAGCCAAGGATAAAGCGATACCAATTACAGAGAAAAGAGCCGCGGGCAATTACGGCACCTATCGAAGCGTGACGGGGTAAAGTCCTGCTCCTTCAGGGCAACAGCACTGTGCTCCTCGGAGATTAACTGAGCAGGACAGGCAGACCCGGGGGCACAGGACGAGCGGCGGGAACCAGCGTGGCGTTTCAAACAGGGCAAAAGCTTTTGCGCTGATCTGATTTGAAGCAGATATGCAACCGCACCGACACACATCTTGCCCTCTTCTTCCACTGGTGGCTGCAGGCTGCATGTGTTCTCCCAGCCAAGGTGGGAGAGGAGGAACAGGTATTTCGGATCACGGTGGTAGCAATGAGGGGCTGCAAGGCAAGCTTGGGACAGGGTGGGAAAAGGAAATTGGGGAGTTCCTGCCCTGTCGCATTGTCATTATAAACGTGTAGAAGCAAAGGGGACACCAGGTTAATTGCCAAGTACCAAGGCTTGGCCGGATGGGGCGCATGTGGGAGATCTGAGCCCATAACCCTGATTTCAAGCCTGGGAAGAGCAACGGGAATACCTGCTCAGGGACTCGGTGGAGGCTGGAAGTGGGATCACAATTCAGGGCAGACAGTGGGTTTTTTTCATGGAAAACAACCTGTGAAAGGGACCTGAGCTCACCGTTCGCTTTAGCATCAGTGCTAAAGCAAACTGCCCAGCCGTAATCCAGGCAGGGCTTCGAGAGCACGGATTTCATTCTCTGCAGCAGTCTCGTTAACAACCAA